TCCTCATGGAGTTTCCAGAGCCCTCCAGAATTTTCTTGAACTGTCACAGATTATTTTTTTTTTTTGCTAGCACAGCTTTTTGAAGGAAGACCATTGAACAAGGCAGGCACATGGTTAAGCCCCTGCATAAATGTACAATTCCTAAGCCACCAAACTGCCTTTATACTGTAGTTTGCTTCATTTACAAAGGCCGTTTTCATTCTATTGTTAGCATGGCTTTGCTAACATAAGGATGCCCATGCTAGGAATGTTTTGCTCAAAAATTGCAACATTAAATCATTATTAGTAATGGTGATGAACCAGAAGGGTTATGCAAGTGCAGAAATCTCTTCTTTTCATGCAGTGCCAAACAGTTTGACCATAGGAATCCAGGAAAACAAGTTATCTTCTTCTAGCACTGGGTAGGACTGCTTCCAGCTTTAAGATATAGCATTCCTGTACACTGACAAATCACTTGAATGTGAGAAAGAACTTCTTTCATGTGCTAGTGACCAAACACTGGAACAGATTTCCCAGGAAAGTTGTAGAGTCTTCATCAGTGGAAATATTCAAGAGCCATCTGAACACAATCCTTTGCCATGTGCTCTGGGATGACCCTGCTTGAGCAGGGTGGTTGTCCCAAATGACCCAATGTGGTCCCTTTCCAGCCTGACCCATCCTGTGATTTTGTGATTAGTTGCAAATACAGAATTATTTATTATTGTGCATCTCTTCAGAGTAGTCATGCCATTCTTGATTTAAAAAATTGATCAAAGCACCTTAAATTGTGGTCCCCTGGAAATTTCATCCTATTTCTATGTGAAGTTAGACCTTCTCATCTTCAATTAACATCATTCTCTAATCTCACATTTAAATAGGGGACAAGAAGCAGGAGTTTAGCTCCTGCTAAGGAACTAAAGCTCCTTCAGCCATACCAGACCTGGGCTATCCTCAGGATGTGCCACTTTGGGTTGTGTGCCACACTACCCTAATTTGTCACTGCCTCGAGTTTCACCAGTATCTAACAGTCTGAGAAATGAGAAGTTGACAGCAACTGGGCATGTTTGTTGTGTCTTCTTTTAGAGAAGCCTGATCCTTTTGATTGTCATAGCTATTTGGAATCAGGAACTTTCTGAAATACCAAACTTGATCTTTTTGGCTTCGTACCAACAGTCAAGGTGTTTATCTGTACCGTGGGTGAAGCTAACAGAGGTAGACTTGGTCCCTTTGAAAATTTCTGTAATGTAATTTCATAAAGTTTATAGGAGACACTAACATGCTGCTTAAATTCTTGCAGCACACAACCCCCGGAGCTCAGAGCCGGTGCGGCAGATGTACAGGAAGAAGCTGCTGCAGTTCGTGGAGCACTGCCAACTCCTCCCCTACCTGGGGACTGTCATGAGGGGCCCGTATCAGGAGCCAAGAAATCGGCCCCGTGGCTTTGATGACAGACTGCAGACTTTTTTTTCCCTGAAAGGCACTCGCCCCACTTTTGTGTGAACCTTGCATTTCCACTGATTAACACATGGAGTGTTGCCATGAGGCACCAGCATGGCTGCAACGTGGCCTGCGAATGTCACACCTTCTCAGGCCAGTTTTTTAACCATGAAATCTTAGAAATAAAATCTTTTGTCTGAAGTTGAGAGATATCAAGCTACTAGAGAGTGTGCAAAGGAAAGCTACAACCATAATGAAGGCCTTGAGGGAAGCCATATGATGAGCAGCTGAGGCCACTTGGTCTGTTCAGCCTGGGGGAGACTGAGGGGACACCTCATTGCAGTCTACAATGCCCTTGGGAGTGGGAGAGGAGGGGCAGACACTGAGCTCTTCTCTGTGGGAGAGGAGGGGCAGACACTGAGCTCTTCTCTGTGGTGCCCAGTGACAGGACACGAGGGAATGGCCTGAAGTTGTGCCAGGGGAGGATTAGTTTAAATATTAGGGAAAGGTTTTTCAGCCAGAGGGTGGTTGAGCACTGAACAGGCTCCCCATGAAAGTGGTCACAGCACCAAGTCTGACAGAGTTCAAGGAAAGCATTTGGCAGCGCTCTCTGGTACACGGTGTGTTCTTGGGGACTGCCCTGGGCAGGGCCCGGGGCTGGAACCGGATGATCCGCTCGGGCCCCTTCCCACCCGGGCTGCTCTGCGATTCCG